ACTAAAGACCTTCATTTTAACCTTCTTTGGAAAAAGAAATGGACGTATTGATGAAATTTTAAGGAAAATAACCTGTATATACCTGTTCTAATGATATGGTCCGCCATCTTGGATTTTGGCCAATGACGTCTTCAAATTAGCATAAATTATGCATATCTAATGATAAGATTTAAATAAATTCATATGGGATGTTATTAATATTAGAAACCATGAGTAACTTGACATAAAACCCATAAAATTCTATTGTTGAAACAAAAATTACTAAATTTAGCAAAAAAGGCCTGTCAGAAACCCGTTGCCATGGCAACACAAAAAATCATTATCTTATTCCAATGGTTGAAAATTGTTGCCAACAATATTTTAGGAAAAGTCACCAAGTTCGGTTGTTCTAGCCCCAGCCGTTCAGATGCTATGTGACATCAAAGTTGGCGTGGGCACTTTTAGCCCCCCCCCCCGGTCTAGATAGGGTTAAGGTTAATATGATGAAAATTTTTGTTACATATTACATGCCATTGCACAGCGGATCATAGCTACATGTCGGGAGTATTGTCCAGTAACATTATCAGGGTGAAAGGTACGAAGTTAGAAGGTACGAAGTTGTACGAAGTTGTACAAAGTTAGAAATGACTTGGCCTTACTTTGTACAGAGGGCGAAGTACGAAGTTGTACGAAGTTATGACGTAATCTAACTTCGTACGGAGGGCCTGTGGTAGCGTACGAAGTACGAAGTTGTACGAAGTAATGACGTAATCTAAGATCGTGTGGAGGGCCTGGGATAGCGTACGAAGTACGAAGTTGTACGAAGTAATGACGTAATCTAACTTCGTACGGAGGGCCTGGGGTAGCGTACGAAGTAATGACGTAATCTAACTTCGTACGGAGGGCCTGGGATAGCGTACGAAGTACGAAGTTGTACGAAGTTATGACGTAATCTAACTTCGTAAGGTGGGCCTGGGGTAGCGTACGAAGTACGAAGTTGTACGAAGTTATGACGTAATCTAACTTCGTACGGAGGGCCGGGGGTAGCGTACGAAGTACGAAGTTGTACGAAGTTATGACGTAATCTAAGATCGTGCGGAGGGCCT